TAGAACAAGGATATGTCAAGTAAATGAGAATCATCTTTGATTGATTACTGATGAATATATAGTGACTTGCAAATTAAGATATATGGGTGGTCTGTAGAAAGTAAGATATATATGCACCTGTCCAACAACAAATCCAAGTCTAAGGAATAGTATAACACTAAACATTGATAAAATGACCGGAACTACAACGCCAAGGCTTGCAGGAAGTTTGTTCCTTTGGCCAAAATCTGAAATTGATGAGAATATGTTGAAAATAAAATTATATTTAAAAGATGAAAAAGCTTATAAACATCTATGAAATACCAGAAAATATCACATTTAAAAGACAACAAATTTTTGCACGTTTGTAAGAAGAGATGATTCATGTGATTATAAGTAAGGGTCAACCTTTCACACTTTGAAGTGTCACGATACCGTGTAGCATTGAAATTGAAAGAAAACAATTCGAAAACGGATATTCGAAATCAAAGATAGCTGATTTAGATATAACAGACATGGTCCTGGCCGAGGTAATTAACAAAAAACCATACAAAGATTATTTAGTACTTAAGCATATTAAGTTATTTTAGAACTTTCTAAGCTGGCTTTGGCTGTGCGCTGCGATGTCAAACTCACCGTCATCTTCCTCTTGTACAGTTGGCTCACCGAGAAAACTAATCATTGAGTAAGTGGAGGGAAGACGATTATAACTTAAAGTACTAGTGGTTTCTCCTTGCATATCTCAAACCAAACTCGATTCAATGTTATCGTGCTTTTCGCGCTCTCTCGAAAGAACTTGTGAAGACCTCACATGACTGACTCGCCTTAGTCCCTCTCTCAAAAATCGAAATTGTATAATRTCACCTTCCGGTCATTAATRCTCTGAGTCACTTGTTACTTGGATACGATATTTGAMCTGCTTGACTTTCTGAGYATCTAAAAGAAAAGATGAAATTGTTTACTAGGCCCTAGTCCTTGACGGTCATTTAAACCAAAATGGCGGACGTGTGATGGTGAGTTCGATTTGTGTTTCTGAACATATGTTCTGAATGACTAGTGGGAACAAGAGGTAAACTAGTGTTATTTCTGATTCGGAGTTTTTCTTGTTAAGTTTAGTATGTCACGATAACGAGAGTCAAATCAAATATCAAATAATGTGCTTGTCCATATTTTCAGTCTGTTAATTATAGGCCAGAAATTCCATAATGATTCATCTGCTGTCCACATCACGACCTCGAGTAACATCTCTCTACTACCAACAATTTACGAGATGTTTCAAAAGGGGTCTKTTAAGCAAGCCCAGGGCGGTGGCTTTTGACATGGGAGGGGTAGTTATACCATCACCTATACATGCTTTTGCTCAATTTGAAGTTAAGCATGGTCTACCTAGAGGAGCTATTGGAAGTGCTATTAGAGCAGGGGGTGATCAAGGTAAGCTAAACAAAGCCTTGTTTATCTATATATTGTGTTATGAACAAGTCATCYATTTAATGTACATTGTTTTTTTAAGGACCTTGGTCTCAATTTGAATTAGGAAAATTACTTCCTGAGCAATTTGCCAAAGAATTTAGTATCATTCTCCAGTCAATGACAAARCAAGAAGTTGATGTGCTTGGTTTATTGGACACAATTCATAACAGTTCCTTAGCACGACCCTATCCAGAGATGATYAAAGCCATAAAAARAATTAGAGAAAATGGTTTAAAAACAGCTCTTATTACTAACAACTGGTTGGTTTCTCAAGGAGAAACATTTTTACCCATTGAATGTGATCATTTTGATGTGGTTAGTAAACATCAATTGTCTTAACCAAAATTGTAAAATGACTTTCATGCATATGAGTAAAAATTTCTTGACATAAATTTTTTTAGGTGGTTCAATCTGCKGTTGAACATTTACGYAAACCAGAAAAGGCAATCTATTTGACATTGGTTGAGAGACTTGGTGTTTCACCTGAAGAAGTTGTATTCTTGGATGATCTTGGGATTAACTTAAAAACAGCCAGACATCTAGGCTTTCATACAATAAAGGTGAATTTCCTGTTCTGCTCATTGCACTGGCAACCMTGGTCTAGCTATTATTTTTGTACTTCCAGGTTTCAGAYCACCTAGATGCTATCAATGAATTGGAGAAGGTGCTAAAGTTTTCTTTAGGAGGTAYTCAGATTTTCAGACAGATTATATTTCAAAGGATTGGCTCATTGTTCTTGAATTTCAGTAAAAGTTATTCCTGGTACAAAAGAAGTCACCGAGAAACACAAGWTTCCKGTTGATTCACTTGCTCAGTACTTGRAGACAAAACTTGGTCTGAACCAAGAAGGTATGGAATTAGTTCTAACTTTGGTCTTCCTGTGGCAATGTAATAATTTTGTTTAATAAACCACAGGACCTCCAGTAGTACGTCAATTCAAACATGGACAATCCAATCCTACATACTATATTGATTATGGTGGAAAAGAGCTTGTCCTACGTAAGAAACCCGTAAGTTATAGTGGAAATTAGTGTTACAAACATAGATTTTGTATGGCTGTGCAATGGCACAGATCATAGTATGTACACAACAAACATTGACTGATATTGATGCCAAATAAAAACATTGATGCAAGAATATGTCTGAATCACTGTCAGAGCGCATACTGTACAGCCTTTGGCACAAAAGTGCTGTGCTTTTTTGCACAGTCACATGAAATCCACTCTCACTTTGTGAGTGACTCCAGACATTAATAAGTTAGTGCAAATTGAAATGCGAATGMAGCTGCCTTACTACTGGAAAAGAAGCCAGAAAAAATTCTGAGTAGTAAGGCAGCATTCACATTTCAATTTATTCTATTAACGTAACTACTGAACATATTTATATAATTAATAAGTACATTTGCATGTGAATTTCAGAAACGCAATATTTCTGTCAATGACAAAAGACATTTGACTGTACATAGTATCCCATAACTCCATGCAATTTTCAAACAATCAGGAARAAGTTAACAATACTTTTTCTCTTTRCACAGCCTGGAAAGCTGCTACCCTCAGCTCATGCGGTTGAGAGAGAATTTAGGTAAACGATCACTATTAATTGCTTCCAATCAATTAATTAATCCAAAAMCCAATCAGTAATTCTAATAAGTCAATTCAATAAATTTATTAATAATAATGAATCTGTAGAGTCATGAGAGCAATGGAGTCAGCTGGGGTTCCAGTACCCAAGACACTAGAATTATGTGAAGATAGTAGGTTAGTAATACCAACMATAAATTGCAATCAGATCTATCCCTGACTAATCAGAATGCTTATGGTATTCTGACTAGTGTACAATCTTATAATCCATGTAGTGTGATAGGAACACCATTTTACATCATGGAATATGCAAAGGGACGCATTTTTAAGGATCCTTTACTGCCTGGAATGAAAGCTGAACAGCGAAAGGTATGTTTTTACTCTGCCATGATTTGGTCTTAAATTATTTGGCAATGAAAACTCTTTACTACCACCCCAACTTGGATGGGGTGTGCCACAAGCAACTCAAAACCCTGACTCTATCCCTGAACCTCTTTTTTCTCAATAACAAGAACCATATTTGAGTGGCAATGAATATGATAATTTCTTTTTTTAAATGTTTATTTTCGTTCGCTTTTATCTTATTTTTGATATTAATGGAGGTCTTGGTATGCACTAACACGACCCATGAGTACTCTGCATTAGTCATTATAACATTATTATTATCATTAAAATGACCACATTATTTCCCTATCCCAGACAAAAACCATAYGCTAAGTGTTAAGATTTTGCATTTTATTGACAACTTTAAAATCGACAACAAATTTTGTTATGCTACAATTTAACCTTTGCATTGCCCACAATTTTATTTATGACTTTTGAATCATCTCTGAAAGAAAACAAAACATATTGTACAATGTTTGTATATWTTAAAACAACAGTGCTGCTATAGTTTCTTACCTTAATTTAGTCTTTTTTGTGGCATGTTGGAACACCTTCTCCAAGCTTTTCATAGCAACATCCTTGGTTTTCACAGTATTYCTTGCTTACTGAATCCGGTGCACATTCTTTTCTGTTCAGTATGGATACATCACAAGAAACACCTATTATAGCAATAATAACTTTAGTTCTGTTCGTCAAGAGGACACAGAAACGTCAATCTACTCTTATATTAGTTATGTTTAGCTTTAAAAATACTAATAAGTCATTTTGAAAACTAGAGTTTTAGCTTGACATACGTTTTGTGAAACAACGTGAAACGCCAGGGAGAGGCTCGGGAAGGAAGCAGCATCCTTTTGCCTTGCAATCATTCTCACTTATTCCTTCCTCTCCACATGCTTCTCCTTCTKATGGATTGGCCGGTGTACATTTGTCATCACTGCTCGAATGTGGAAACCCTTTCAATTGAATAATGAATGAATGACGTGATCAAAAGCCCATTAATGACTCTTATATTTTTGCGGCGAGCGAAGTAAGTGGCCTGTAATTTTCGGATTTCACTGGCAAACCGTGTTCCCAGTATTATCGTGAAAGATCATCAAAGTAATCTGTTGCTATTTTTTAGTTGATAGTTAAAGGGCTACTTGGACGAAAATTACGAAACATTAGAAAAGACTTTGAAATCAAATAGACCAATCCATATGGGTCTAAAAATCATGAAGCAACAGATTTCAAGAAGATATTGATACAAATCCCTAATAATTTGAGAAACAAAGGTTGGAGTAAATCACATCATTTAGTCCATCCTTTTGCTCTTCCATCTTTTGAATCAAAATTTCTCTGATGTGGGATAATTCCAAAACAAATATTTTCCCGCAATTGTTTTTAATAGATATAAATGAGTCACATATTTGTATTGCTTAAAGTTTTGAAATAAGGGAATTTTCATACAAGTAGCACTTTAAACAATAGAGCAGTTGCATTGAGGGCATTTTCTTGTCAGGGGCGGATCCAGAACATCAGAAAAAGATGGGTGGCTAGCCCATAGAAAACAAATTAGACGATTTTCAGACGAGCCTGGRAAGAGGAAAAGCGTTAGAAAGCGCTAGCGTCGGACCTAGGCCCGTCAGAAAATCAGGCTATTCCAGTTGAAGATAGTTACGAACTAGCAACTATTAGCAACAAATAACTTTCACAGTCATAGTGAGAACWYTCTACATTYATCAGCGCGCGTGGTTTAAATCCAACTGATTTACACCAATTTTGGTAGTTTGTATTTCTCAGCAAAGCCTTGTTGTAAATCAGTTCAATATTGAACGAGTTTCAGCCTTTCATAGATCCTGTGAATATGTGCGTAAAATGGTCAAAATTCGGACACATTCGTTGTTTCTTTGGAAAATCTGTGACTCGTTTATTAGATTGTCCAAAGAAATCTATTGGATACCGCTAATGCATGTGTCCGGATTGTGAACGTTTTCCGCACATGTTCTCTGGTTCCCATGCATTTCTTTGGAATTCCTAGAATATTTGAATTGATTTACATCGAGTTTTGGTATTTGGCCATCGATCGTATAATAACGTCTTTCCTTATCCGCCTTATGACTAACAGTATGAATTCTGGCTATGCTTCATATACCCGTATATCAGAGTGTTCTTAGACAAATTATTATTTTTTTTTTGTCAGCACATAATTCAGTTTACAATCATTTTTAGCGCAGGAGCGACACATGCATATGGTGCCTATTCAGTCTTACCCTTGATTAACACGAAGAAAATCGAGCACAAGACTACCAAAGTCTTCAGCATCGTGAGGGATAATCTGAAACTTATATCGATAGCAATAGTCTTAGTTACTATGGCTTTGCTACATTGCATACATCAGTCGTTTGTTAACTTTTTTGRGTATGTCGTGATAAAKCCATCTTTCTAGTGTTATCAAGAGGTCCACTGAGCAAAATCAAATCGGACTGGGTGACTCGGAGACTTCTCAGAAAAAAACAGTTTTGTTTAAAAGTTTTAAATTTACAAAAGGCTCAAACTGATAATTATGAACCTGTGACCAGAGTATATCGTTTGACGACATAAAAAAAATCTTACTTCAGTTTTTTRTATTTACCTTCTTGGTGTTTAACAGGAGTATTGCGTGTGTCAAGTGTTCAAGCAAAGTGGGTTTTTATTTCACTATTTAGATAATCACCTTTTGTTGTGTTTCTCGGGTAGCCATTAACACCCAATGCTATTTTAATGGCTTTTTTGATTTCTGTTGTGTAAAAAGATAAATTAAACACCGTAAAAAAATAGGTGAAGTAACTTACTGACGTTAAAGAAGGATTAACGTCCGAAACGTCAGTAAGTTACTTCACCTAATTTTTTACGGTGCTTAATTTATCTTTTTACACAACTGTTTCTTTAGAAAMACCGACGCAGCTCACACTAGTTTACKGCTAGTTCCCACCTTTTTTATTTCTTGTCTATTTTGTGTGATTATTTCACTTTTGTATGAGCAATTAATTAGTTTTCTGAGTGGAAAATGTCCTCGGCTCTAATTAAAACATTATTGCTTCTATCGTACGTATTTTGTCAATAATATCCTGACGTTAGATTGAAGTGATATCACAAGCTACTGGGCCCTACTTTGTACAGTTAGATGGATTGGATTTGAAATAAAAGCAACGTAATGGATCATGATTTTATTATTCACTTATAACATGTTTTTTCTAAGTTTTTCATTATCATTATCCGCAGCAAAAAGTAACTTATCAATAAGAACCTGGCTTTCGCATTAAATTAACCATTATCAACGGTCTTGTGTAATTGAAAAATTGATATTTATCTCAGTGTGAAATATTACCTCTACTCATTGGAGTTAAAAAAGTCACTTTTAAACATAATGATTTGCTTTCATGAACAATTATATTATGGTCACTTGGAGATATTCTCCTTGTGTTTAAAATCTGTCACTCGAAGATAAAATCCGTWTCTGCGACCATGTATTATCCTTTGTATAAACCTATCAAAATCAGGGATGTTATAGATGGAGAAGACAGCATTAGATAAGCATTTGATTGCAAGGTACTTAGCAACTAAAACCCGGATAGAATGCTAATTGTATTTTTGCTCCCCGGAGTGGAACCTGATAACTCCTCTGTCCCTWTATCATCTGCATTTCCATGCAGGTACTGCTTTATCGGTCATAAGGTTGAAGAATTTTGATTGTCTTGAAAGTATTTTCGGTCAATTGCGGCAAATATGCGATTTTTCGTGATGTGCTGTTACCAGGCGACGATGTTAACATGGTGAACGTCAATGAATTCGTCGACATGGTTRAGATACTGCAMTCAAAGCAAGCATTAACGGAACTGCGCAACAAYTTTCYCACCAAGTGTTAATCTAATCTTGAATGTGCTTGTACCGCTTTCTAATTATTTTCTCGTTCATTTTTTATATAATTCTCATTATACTTTTTATCTTTTCACTTTACCTGCAGGTATGAACAGATATATATCATATCTTGACGAAAAATAAAATGTGTTTCTTTAAAAAGAGTTTTAAATTGTAAGTTGTAAATTGCAAGGTCGGGTCCGAATAACTTTATATAACATTAGATCTGAATCATTCTCATAAACAACTTAACAGTGTTCATCGCAA